TCTGCTACTTCACTTTTTGTTTTGCATTCCATTTTGAACTTCTAGCTTTACTGCAGTCTGCTGATGCTCTGTTTTGATCATCTCTGTTGAACTGAAAACTACATATACTTTTTCTCTCAATCATGCATAAGATCGATCACTGCAACTTTATTTTCTGGAGTTCATCAAACCAGAGGAAGAATTTTTTTTCTTTCGAAGCCAAGAAGAAGAAAAGTTGTACTCTGAGGTGAATATCTTCAGATATATTTGCAAGTGTCGGAATCATACCAGCCACCGATGCCATAACTGCCGGCCATGCAGCTGATATTGCCACACCTTTGTCAAGCACAGGCACACATAAATGACGTCGGCGGACACCAGCTCGCAGCTTGGCTCATCTCCTCCGGTCCTAAACTGTCTGCCCAGTTTATCTCGACACGCTGCCGTAGATGAGCAACGGGTGGATACGAACATAACGACATACTTTTTTTAAATAATTAATCGGAAGAAACAAAAACTACCTACTATAAACACATCGATCCATTCGATCTTGATGCACACACTGATTGCATGAAGCTAGGTCCTGGGCAACGAAGTCCACGGCCCGAGGCATCGGAAGAATTCTATAGTGAACTATGTGAAATTTGGATCCGGCCCGGGGATCAGCCAGCAACCGTGCAGGTCTGGGCAACCGTTTAGCATTGCACATTTCCAGTTTCTCCCCCAACCGGAGAGCGCGCGCTGCCACCAACCAGAATATGCACCCACGGACACACCGCATGAGCCACCGCTACTTTCTTTTTTCTTTCTTTCTCTTATGCTTCTTTTGGGCGTGCTTGTGCCGATGCCCACTATTTTTTCTGGGTGATTTGGTACTTCTTGCATGGGCATGGTGGTTGCTTTATCTATAAAGCTGGACGAAAGCCTATTTTGAGAGAGTCGTACGCCGGCACCGCTGCCTGCTGCTGCTACTCAAGTGCCACTCGGCGCCAGCGCCCCTGCAGTTTTCTTAGGGCATCTCCAGCCGTTTGCCCCCATAGGAGGCATTTTTTTCGCCCCTTGGGAGGCTGCCGGCGAAAAATTTGACCTGGGGGGCGAAAATGTTCCATTCGTTGCATCCCCACGAGCAGTGTTGGACTCCCACGAACAGAGCGGCATTTCGTCGAGCATCTTGCCCGCGGCGGCGGCCGACTACCTCCTCGTCGCGCAGCTAGAGCAGGTCGCGCCCGTCTTGGCCTTGACATTGACCTTGAGCCCCTTGGCCGCGAGCAGGTCGAGGCGCGCGTCGTGGGCGCCGGTCGTCTTCGCCGCCGCCGGAGACGCGCTGCTCGAGCTCGGCGCGCCCGTGCTCCTCTTGTGCGGCATCGACAGCGCCCCCGTGCTCCCGTTCTGCGTGGCTCGCGCCCTCCCTGCCCCGCCGTCGCGTTCGACGCCGCCGAGAAGACTTTGGGCGCGGTGTTGTGGCACCCCGGACCATGGTACCGAGCACGCCCGTCCGTCTGCTGCTGCCTGTGCATGCCCCCTGTGCATGCCCGGCCACGCAGAGGTGGGCGCGGGCGCGGGCCGTCCCGGCCACACCCCGGCGAGCGCGGGCGAGCTCC